ACAGAATAGTGTAGCAACACACTGCTGGTGTTCCCACTGTGTAACTATCATCCAGAATAGTGTAGTAACACACTGCTGGTGTTGCCACTGTGTAACTATCATACAGAATAGTGTAGCAACACACTGCTGGTGTTCCCACTGTGTAACTATCATACAGAATAGTGTAGCAACACACTGCTGGTGTTCCCACTGTGTAACTCTCATACAGAATAGTGTAGCAACACACTGCTAGTGTTCCCACTGTGTAACTATCATCCAGAATAGTGTAGCAACACTGCTGGTGTTCCCACTGTGTAACTATCATCCAGAATAGTGTAGCAACACTGCTGGTGTTCCCACTGTGTAACTATCATCCAGAATAGTGTAGCAACATTGCTGGTGTTCCCACTGTGTAACTATCATACAGACTAGTGTAGCAACACACTGCTGGTGTTCCCACTGTGTAACTATCATACAGAATAGTGTAGCAACACACTGCTGGTGTTCCCACTGTGTAACTATCATACAGAATAGTGTAGCAACACACTGCTGATGTTCCCACTGTTTAACTATCATCCAGAATAGTGTAGCAACACACTGCTGGTGTTGCCACTGTGTAACTATCATACAGGATAGTGTAGCAACACATTGCTGGTGTTCCCACTGTGTAACTATCATCCAGAATAGTGTAGCAACACACTGCTGGTGTTGCCACTGTGTAACTATCATCCAGAATAGTGTAGCAACACACTGCTGGTGTTGCCACTGTGTAACTATCATACAGAATAGTGTAGCAACACACTGCTGGTGTTCCCACTGTGTAAATATCATCCAGAATAGTGTAGCAACACACTGCTGGTGTTGCCACTGTGTAACTATCATACAGAATAGTGTAGCAACACACTGCTGGTGTTCCCACTGTGTAACTATCATCCAGAATAGTGTAGCAATACACTGCTGGTGTTGCCACTGTGTAATTATCATACAGAATAGTGTAGCAACACACTGCTGGTGTTCCCACTGTGTAACTATCATCCAGAATAGTGTAGCAACACACTGCTGGTGTTGCCACTGTGTAACTAAACCCTACAGAATAGTGTAGCAACACACTGCTGGTGGTCCCACTGTGTAACTATCATCCAGAATAGTGTAGCAACACACTGCTGGTGTTGCCACTGTGTAACTATCATACAGAATAGTGTAGCAACACACTGCTGATGCTCCCACTGTGTAACTATCATCCAGAATAGTGTAGCAACACACTGCTGGTGTTGCCACTGTATAACTATCATACAGAATAGTGTAGCAACACACTGCTGGTGTTCCCACTGTGTAACTATCATGCAGAATAGTGTAGCAACACACTGCTGGCGTTACCACTGTGTAACTATCATATAGAATAGTGTAGCAACGCACTGCTGGCGTTACCACTGTGTAACTATCATATAGAATAGTGTAGCAACGCACTGCTGGTGTTCCCACTGTGTAACTATCATACAGACTAGTGTAGCAACACACTGCTGGTGTTGCCACTGTGTAACTATCATACAGAATAGTGTAGCAACACACTGCTGGTGTTCCCACTGTGTAACTATCATACAAGTAGTGTAGCAACACACTGCTGGTGTTCCCACTGTGTAACTATCATACAGAATAGTGTAGCAACACACTGCTGGTGTTCCCACTGTGTAACTATCATACAGAATAGTGTAGCAACACACTGCTGGTGTTCCCACTGTGTAACTATCATACAGAATAGTGTAGCAACACACTGCTGGTGTTCCCACTGTGTAACTATCATACAGAATAGTGTAGCAACACACTGCTGGTGTTCCCACTGTGTAACTATCATCCAGAATAGTGTAGCAACACACTGCTGGTGTTCCTACTGTGTAACTATCATCCAGAATAGTGTAGCAACACACTGCTGGTGTTGCCACTGTGTAACTATCATACAGAATAGTGTAGCAACACGCTGCTGGTGTTCCCACTGTGTAACTATCATACAGAATAGTGTAGCAACACACTGCTGGTGTTCCTACTGTGTAACTATCATAAAATAGTGTAGCAACACACTGCTGGTGTTTCCACTGTGTAACTATCATACAGAATAATGTAGCAACACACTGCTTGTGTTGCCACTGTGTAACTATTATACAGAATAGTGTAGCAACACACTGCTGGTGTTCCCACTGTGTAACTATCATACAGACTAGTTTAGCAACACACTGCTGGTTTTTCTACTGTGTAACTATCATATAGAATAGTGTAGCAACACACTGCTGGTGTTCCCACTGTGTAACTATCATACAGACTAGTTTAGCAACACACTGCTGGTTTTTCTACTGTGTAACTATCATATAGAATAGTGTAGCAACACACTGCTGGTGTTCCTACTGTGTAACTATCATAGAATAGTGTAGCAACACACTGCTGGTATTGCCACTGTGTAACTATTTATACAGAATGTGTAGCAACACACTGCTGGTGTTCCCACTGTGTAACTATCATATAGAATAGTGTAGCAACAAACGTTGGTGTTCCCACTGTGTAACTATCATATAGAATAGTGTAGGGAAACACACTGCTGGTGTTCCCACTGTGTAATTATCATATAGAATAGTGTAGCAACACACTGCTGGTGTTCCCACTGTGTAACTATCATATAGAATAGTGTAGCAACACACTGCTGGTGTTGCCACTGTGTAACTATCATACAGAATAGTGTAGCAACACACTGCTGGTGTTGCCACTGTGTAACTATCATATAGAATAGTGTAGCAACACACTGCTGGTGTTCCCACTGTGTAACTATCATACAGACTAGTTTAGCAACACACTGCTGGTTTTTCTACTGTGTAACTATCATATAGAATAGTGTAGCAACACACTGCTGGTGTTCCTACTGTGTAACTATCATAGAATAGTGTAGCAACACACTGCTGGTATTGCCACTGTGTAACTATCATACAGAATAGTGTAGCAACACACTGCTGGTGTTCCCACTGTGTAACTATCATATAGAATAGTGTAGCAACAAACTGTTGGTGTTCCCACTGTGTAACTATCATATAGAATAGTGTAGCAACACACTGCTGGTGTTCCCACTGTGTAATTATCATATAGAATAGGGGTAGCAACACACTGCTGGTGTTCCCACTGTGTAACTATCATATAGAATAGTGTAGCAAACACCTGCTGGTGTTGCCACTGTGTAACTATCATACAGAATAGTGTAGCAACACACTGCTGGTGTTGCCACTGTGTAACTATCATATAGAATAGTGTAGCAACACACTGCTGGTGTTCCCACTGTGTAACTATCATACAGACTAGTTTAGCAACACACTGCTGGTTTTTCTACTGTGTAACTATCATATAGAATAGTGTAGCAACACACTGCTGGTGTTCCTACTGTGTAACTATCATAGAATAGTGTAGCAACACACTGCTGGTATTGCCACTGTGTAACTATCATACAGAATAGTGTAGCAACACACTGCTGGTGTTCCCACTGTGTAACTATCATATAGAATAGTGTAGCAACAAACTGTTGGTGTTCCCACTGTGTAACTATCATATAGAATAGTGTAGCAACACACTGCTGGTGTTCCCACTGTGTAATTATCATATAGAATAGTGTAGCAACACACTGCTGGTGTTCCCACTGTGTAACTATCATATAGAATAGTGTAGCAACACACTGCTGGTGTTGCCACTGTGTAACTATCATACAGAATAGTGTAGCAACACACTGCTGGTGTTGCCACTGTGTAACTATCATATAGAATAGTGTAGCAACACAATGCTGGTGTTGCCACTGTGGAACTATCATATAGAATAGTGTAGCAACACAATGCTGTGTTTCCACTGTGTAACTACATATACAGAATAGTGTAGCAACACAATGCTGGTGTTTCCACTGTGTAACTATCATACAGAATAGTGTAGCAACACACTGCTGGTGTTGCCACTGTGTAACTATCATACAGAATAGTGTAGCAACACACTGCTGGTGTTGCCACT